GGCCCATTTATCACTTTTTCAAATGACATCATCTTCTCATTCAAACATTTCAGTAGCTCTTGTAAAAAATATGTCACACATATCTGTGCTGTCAAGGTTTATCTCCAGCACAACATGTAACCCAAAGGTCACAGACAAGATGCAGCTTCCTGGAAGAGGCTACAGTCATCCCAGAGCCTGTGGACAGTGCCAACAATGTTGCCACAGTGCAGAGCTTGAGACGAACCAACAGTAGCCAACCCACAGTGTTATGGTTTAGATACAAGGTGTCCCCCAAAAGTTCATATGTGAGTGGGGTATGGTGGCACATAATCCCAGAAGCTCAGAAGGCTAAGACAGAAGGATGACAAGTTCAAAGCCAGCCTCAGCAACTTAGGGAGATACTAAGCAACTTAGTGGGACCCTATATTAATAAAACATAAAAAGGGCTGAGGATGTGGCTGAGTGATTAACCACCCCAGGGTTCAATAATCCCTGGTACAAAAAAAAAAAAGCACATGTGAGACAATGCAAGAAAGTTCAGAGGTAAAACAATTGGGTTATGAGAGCCTTAATCTAAGCAGTGCATTAATCCACTGATATGATCAAATGGACAGTGACTATACGTAGACAGATGGGGTGTGTCTTTGGGGTTTAAATAGTGGAACTATTTCCTTGTTGCCATATCCTGAGCTACTTTCTTCTGACACACCCTTCCACCATGATGGTCACCTCACCTGGAACCCAGAGTTGGCCATCTTTTGAGACCTCCAAAACCATGAGCCCTAAATAAACTTTCTCTTCTCTATGTTGTTCTTATCAGGTCTTTTGGTCACAGCCACACATACACACACACACACACACACACACACACACAAACTGAATATAAAACACAGGTTTCCTCTGAAGTTCTGCACAGAACAATGAGATTCTGTTAACAGGACCAACAATGCTGATTTCAGTAAAGTCCTAAAAAAAAAAAAAATGAAAATTATCTATGAGGTATTAAAGCATTACTATACATATTAATAGCTTAAGTAATATCACTAAAATTGAGTTTAGTGAACTAAGTGTGGACCAACAGCCTTCCCAACACTCCACAGTTGCAGGAGTGCTGTGGGGAGGCACGGGCTGAACATTCTCAGGCTGTGTTTGGAGAATGACTCACTTAACTTGCTGTGTGGCCCCGATCAGGTTACCCCTTGGCCTCCCTTACTTCACTTGCATTTATGAAAAGGGACTGAGCTCTCCCTGTCTATCCTCCCAGTCAAGAAGTTGTGACATTTTCTTAGGTTGCTAAAACATGTAAAATATTGAGTGTCTCAAGTATTTTTTTTCATTTAATAATGCTAATTACAGATTATTTGTGCATTAAAACTAGCTAATGGACTTTTAATAGAGAGGTAAGTTTCCCGTTTCTAAAGATAATTCTGTTGTTTATTCATTTTTGAAGATCCATGTGCTTTTGCCTTCACCTCGAAGCTATGTGACAAGTAGCTATGAGACTGCAAAAATGCCCAGCTGAAATACTGATGGAAACTGATTACCCATCTTTCCTTAGGTTGCACAGCTCATTAAATGCACAGAAGGGGAAATACTTAGGCATTAAGATCCTGGAAAATCACACAAGACTGTTCTAATGTCAAATGGTCACAGACACAAGCAAGGTAAAAGAGAAGGAAGCAAACACCACATCAACGGTGGACACCAAGGATTCAAAGCAAACATCTCAGTCTCAGCAAGGTGTTAGCTGGCACTTAAACCAGATGTGACCCAACTTCACAGACATCTCAGAGAAAACAATCAGGAAAACTCAACAGGATAAAAGTGGGGCCTGCAGGAGAAATGAGGCAAGGGTGTATGAATGAACACTCCATACCGTCTCTGTAACTTTGCTGTAAAATGAAGCTGATCCAAAATAAAGTGTGTTTGTTTTAAATGACCTTTTAAGTTTAAAAAGGGCAGAGTACTTGCCTTTAAAGAAGAGAAAGAAAATGGGGTTGAGTTGTAGCTCAATGGTAGAGCGCTCGTCTCCCAC